ACAACGACTGCTTTATCGATCACATGTTGTATGCATGATGTCGAAAACGTCGGTAATGATGTTTAACCGGGAAAGTAGTGATAACCAGACATTGAAAAACCGGCCCTAAATCAGTATGGCAACTGTGTTGCCATGCAGTGCCTTGCCATCCTGCTTTTCTCCCATGAGGACTAGCATGGTAAAAAATGTTGCCTTTTCATTGCCCAGTTTTTATTGATTGTGCTGAGAGGGCAATGAAAAGGTAACGTTTTTCAGTAGAAGCGAAAACAGCATTATATATAAAGGGAAAAGATTTTATTTGAAGCAGCTATAATTAGAAATATACATATATGTATTTAGCAAAAACTGAAAAAATTTTTAAACAACATTTTTTTCCGATAACGCCGTATTGAATTCGCCATTTTGAATTTCAAAAATCGACATCAGAATTAAAATTATTGAAATTAAAAACCCTCCTTATATATAAGTTTTTGGTGAAAAATAAAAAATTATAAAATTTGGTCGCCAATTTATGACTAGATTCGAAATCAGCGACCTCGAAAACTCCCCATTTATGTATATCAGTTTGTCGTGAAAACGAAAAAATTATAAAAGTGGTTCGCCATATTGGATCCGCTATTTTAAATGCCAAAATTCTTACATGATTAGAGTGGCCCAAACAATTTTTTTCCGAGATAGGGTTTGGGGCACCTTCAAAAATTTTTCCTCTTGCCAAACGAGGTGCTAGTACCAAACTTTACGTTTCTAAGTATAAATTTATAGGATGCTCATGATTCTCATATTTTATACTAGAAGTATTTTTTTGCATATATTAATCAAACCACTAGTTAAGCAACTTAAGAAAATTTCAAATTTAAACTCTCTAAAAAAATATCAGAACCTTCAATTGTCACGGCAACCAGTTTCACAGCTATCCAGTAGCGCATTTCAAGGCTATTGAGCACCATGTATTGGTTACAGTGGAAAATTTAAATTGTTATAGATATTATAAATATGGGGGATGACATTTTTTCCCCCACACAAAAATTGGACCACTCTAGTGGTGATGTTTAGATGTACTTTGCACTTGCACTGCTCCTAAAGCAGTTCTGTAATACCTTATAGAGCAATAAATTTATTGTCTAAAGTTTAATTGCCCTGCACAAAATGGGACTAATCCGGAAGGGTATAAAAAGCGACTACTCAATTTTAAAATATGAAAATAAATATTTGCGCTAGCTGCGATTCGACCGGGGTTAACAGTTTTGTTAAGCGAATACTCTCTCTTTGTGCCAACGCCGCACATAAAATTTCATTGAGTAGGTATGTCATTAAATCGTTAATAGTACCCGTTAGCGATAAGTCGGGGATTGATAATTGATCTTCAATTATATACGTAAGGGATGAGTCGAGACTAATTGATCTCCAATTATACCCGCATGAGACTAGTTGCGACTAATTTATGCGATTGAGAGTAGTATCGGAAGAAGCTCATTAGAGATTAGTCTCACAATTTTTTGCAGGGTGGTTTCTTTCCAGATACATATATACATATGTCGTGTGGCCATATATTTAATCCCTTTGACATAAAGAATTGTAATTTATGAATGAGACAAATTGCTTGCAGTAACTATTCGCGCTTACGTATGTATGCTATATACAGTAGGGTGACTCAAGGCATACGAAGAAAATATTTGATGCTTTTTTGTGAAATTCGATTGGCATATACTCCATTTTTTGAGGAAATAACGCAAATATATAGTTTTATTACTTACTTATCGAAGAGTGAATTTATAGTAAAAACTTGTACTGGAAATATTATACCAGATCGTGCATAGCACTTACTAAATGTTTTAAGACCGGGGTAGATTTCTGTAAAAAGGCGATCTGAGAGCTGGTTGCTGATATTCACAGCACACTTGAGTTATACAGGAAATACTTCTTTAATGCTTCCCGTGAACACGACGACTCGCACCCTCCATTCGATGATGATAAAATTTGAGTTCCGTTTCTCGAAAATTACGAAATTCGAGTAGAAGAGGAGGCGTTGGTCTGTCAGCTGAGCGATGGCGATGAGCTGTAAAATATGGTGGGACTAAAGCATGCTTGCCGATTGGAATTGAGTGTACTCTGTAAAGTTGTGTAAGTTGTAAATTCCTTACACACCTTATTTAATTATCGCCATAAGGCCTGAATTGAATATCTCTGCCTCAGCAATACTCCCACTGCATCAGAATTGGGAAGGACCTCTACGAGCCGTTTAATATACATAAAACAGTGAGAAGATTATAGAGCTGCAGTACTGAACCGTTCAGGTAGCACTTCCTTTAAAAACGTACAATCGCTAGAGTATAGCCATGACATCGATATTATCAGTCTCAAAAGGAGGGACGCTTATTTTTCTGCCTCGAACTAACAGTATAGGCGGGGTCTGTTGGTGAACTAGGACAAAGCGAATGAGTCAAATTGCGCGATGCACAGAGTGACTTCTATCGATGGCACTATCGATAGTATCGATGGCACTATCGATAGCATCGATGGTTTTTGACTATCGAAATCATCGATGGTTTTATAATCACTATCAATAGTTTTCACTCATACATACATTATTCAGTAACATACATATTTCAGAGCGCAGGTGCTGCTTGGAGCCAAAAATCGTTGATAAACTTTTGTTCCTTAACAAAAATATCGACATATTTTAGCAATTCTGATCTCAATTTCAATAAAAGTTGTTATATTTAACTTTTGGACTTTTTCAATCAAAACTATCGATAGTGTCGACATTTTCGATAGTATCAAACCTATCGATGGTTGTGACTGTCGGATGTGACAGTGTCCAGAAATCAATTTATAATCTTACTGAAACCCAAAAATATTTTAGTTGATTTTCTATGTTTTTTGAGAAACCTCTCTTTGTGGAAGTGTGTGATTTTGTGTAAAGTTTTAATAATGGATCACATTTATAGTGGTATTTTTTGCATCTACCCAACTAAAATAAACTTGCAGTATTTCTGATATTGTGACAATTGGATTAGAAAATTAAAAAAAAATGTAAGCTGCACGTAGGGCTGAAAGGGATATGCATAACAAGGAAGGATGTATTTACTCCCTACATGTGTACATTAGGGTGGTCCAAAAATGTATGGGAGAAAAGTAAAATCGGAAATTTAATGCTCTCACCCCTAGGATTGTTCTATACCGAAAAAAGTTTACCCCTGTTTTTTTATTTTAAAATCAAAATATATTTAGAGGTCGCTCAAAGCGCTCAAAGTTTCCCATGTATTTTGTATGGGGAAAAAATACTTTTCGTAGAAATGGCATAGAATCCATGAAAATCAAAATTTTTCAATCTGAAAACTCTGCTTCTCGTCAGAGGACTTCAGAGAATAATGCCCAATTGTTTATTTAAACGTTTTTTAATTTAAACTCTTTTTTCTTTTTTTCTTTTGTATATTTCTGTTTGTATATTTGATTTTTTTTTGGGATATTTCGGATACCCTTAACCCTTAACCCTTAACTTATGTACACTGTACATACATGCACTTATACATATAATTATATAAATTTTGCAGAGATTTGGCGAAACTGTACCTGCTGAGACACATTATAGGGCATAAAAGAAATCCATGTCGTAAGTAACCATTCACATTTCTAAGAATCGGCTTATATATGTGTTAAAATTGGTCACGTGTGGCAAATAACACAAATATTATTTCTTTAATAACTAGATTGGGATACTAGTTGTTATCAATATTTCCGATAAGGAATTATAAATTATTATTATTAGATATTATTGGCAAACGTGTCGATGTTGCATTAATTTCACAATCAGGTAAAAATCGCAAGCGAACTATGTAGCTGTAATAAAAATATCAGAAGATAATAAAGGGTAAGTCTTTATTACCTTTGCTACAGAGATAAGCCAATTTGTCGTTTTCGAGTGGCGGAATAGTAAAATTTTCAACTATCGCATAACGAAAATGTTTTATAAAATTACCCGGTGTACATATTTACTATTAATTATTATGTATTAACAGCGGCACATATAATTTTCTAGTAGGATTTTTCGGAACGTGCTACCAAAAGGGTAGAAACAGAGGGGGAAGGAACAGGACGATGACCGTGCTCACCACGAAGCTTCACACGCGAAAGCTCAACGGGAGTGTGGAAGAAATGCGAGCCGACGTGCTCCAGAGCAGCAGGTGTTAAGTTGATTCTACCGCCCCATCCTCCGTGGACCTGTTGCACTAAGGGTCATCGATGATATTCAGTCTTACTTCAGTCGTATCTATTACGCAATGATCAGTTAGAACTCCCACCAGTAGTGAGAGATATAACTTGCTGAGTCTCAAGAGCTTCCTTGGCCGCCCCCGATCTGCACGTGGCTGAATGGATTTAGTCACCTTACATGCCAAGGTCTTCGCTTACCGCACGCTAAGCCGATTTATCGCCCCTCTGTCCAGAAGTAGACCGCATAAGGTCAGAGGAGCACCCAGACTTCCTCTTACCGGGAACAATTCGTCAAGGGTTCCCTGCCTTGCCAGCTCATCGACCATGCAGTTATCCGAAATTTCGCTATGAGCCGAAACCCAAATGAGTTTAATAGCGTAATTACCCGATGCAGTCGATAAGAAAGTCGAACAATCGCTAACCGTTTCAAACGAACCAACAAGGACCTAAGAGCCTTGATAGCTGCTTGGCTGTCGGAATAGATTTTAACCTCTTTAAAATGTGTTACACTAGAGAACAACCAACCTGAAGCCTCCTCTTTTGCAGATACCTAAATATGTTTACAGAACCCACAGGTGGTTAAAGATCCTCTCGGACCCACAAGCGGCGTGCAGTGGCCTCTTCGAATCGGCAGTAACTCGAAGCTTTTTAGAATAAAGGTGTGCCCATAGCTCGAGGCGAACATAAAGCCCACCCCTCTTAGAGCTGAGAAGTTTGCGTAAAAGGGCAGGGACTTCATTCCATCGGCATTAAGTTACTTTGTAATAGTTTTTATGTTTTTTTTTTTGTTTTATTCTACTTCAATTTTGTTATATAAAATGTTCCACCAAAAATTTATCACATCACAATTGGTAAGAGCTAAAAGGCTATTAAGCTCAAGTTCTACAAGTAACGCGCCAATGCAACCGTCAGCGTGGTAAAGACGGTTAACAATGAAGCACTAAGTGCGGCACTGCCACTTCGCGTGAAGTTGTTCACCCACTGCATGATCGGATCACGATTTCTGGTCAACCATTCAAAGTTTGATCTAATGTTCGTATTGACGACAGACTCCAAATTAGATTGCACCTTATCGCTGTCCTTCACCTTATCCACCAAATCCAAATACTGTAGAAATTTAAAACAAGTTGTATATTAAAATATTGATTTTGGTTCAAAAAAGTTGCTATACAACGTCTTACTCACTTTTTGTCTTTGCTCTTCATTAACTACATAGCTGGACATGGCAACCACGGCTGTATTGAGTGGATTATCTCCACCGAAACCGGGATTCAAATTACTATATGCTTCCCAATTGTCGCTGAGGAAATCAATGCTTACCAGCAATCCGGTACTGCTGCTCGAGTACGCTGCACTGAGTAAAGTGATGCGCTCTTGAGTACGCCAATCGGCTGAAGTATCAATTGAGCTGTTTACGAATTTTCGCAATTGGGACTCCGACTGCGAGCAGCCCAATGAAGTGATGTGTGTGCGACGGAATGCCTGATTATTGGACTGCAATACCTGGTTAAAAACGAAATCGAATACTGTATCATCGGACTGACGTAGACCATTGCAATATATTTGCGATTGTAGATTTGGTTCGATTGCGATGCCGTCTTCAATGAGCGCCCTTAATTTGTTGTTCGTCTCCTCTAGACAACTTTCAATGCCTGACAAACAGGCGAGGTTAATGGCGATACTGCGTATAGATTTCACCAGATGTTGCTCGCCAGTTGCATCATTCACACCCAACTTATCGAAGAGGTCTGATACTAAAGAGGCTACGAAACTTTGGAAATTTTTATAATCACTATCCCCATTCAGATATCTGTTTAATGTGTTGATCACCGAATAAGTCGTAGACCAAGGAGCAAATTGATCTTCATTAGGCAGATATTGTAGCAAATTGAAGAGTGTACTTTGGTCGAGACGTCCTGTTGAACTGAACTTATAGACATCATGAATAAGCTGACCACGATTGCGTGGATGAAACCTGTAAGGATTGGATTTGAGCGCATCAATAATTAGGTTCCAGTTACGTTCATCATAATTGATGCGATAGAAACCGGTGGACTGTTTATTGAGCAACAGCCAATCATCAGCGGCTAAATTGTTGTCGGTGATATGAATTTCTTTTGTCTTCAACAAATAATGCGAGGCGGTAGTGTTACGGTGGTCTGGATTTGATTTATGTGCATAATTAATTGGAATGTACCAAGTCTGGTTCGATGTTGTGGTGCTATTATCGTAGAAAGCTTCTTGTGTAACGGTGAATGAGTTATTTTCATAATGACGTGTAACGGTGAGAAGTGGGTAACTAGATTGTTGCGACCAACTTGAGAACATATTGGCCATTGTCGCTGGAAGCGGAACATTTTGTGCACCGGCTGCAATACTAAGAGCCTCGAAGAGCTGCCATTCATCAGCAGCACTGTATTGACTGTAGGAAAATGCAAAGCAGAAGTAATGAAAAAAGTCTTTGACATAAAAATTTAATTTGATTTTAAAGAAAACTTTTTAAGCTAACTAAAATTGTGGTTTTACTAACCGTCAGCTCCAAGCTAACCCTATTCACCTAACATTCTTTGTAGTTCATTTCTCTCAAGCCTTTTTATAAGAAGTCATTTTTAGTCTTCCACTTAGACCGCACACACTTACAGGAAAATAATATGCCGTGCACCTTCGCGTCTAAAGTAGTTTTGTAAGGCAACTTAGGGAATTTTTTTTTGATGAACCTACGGGGTACCTTTTTACATTTTTCTTTGAAACCTACGTACATTATTTAATATATATATATTTTTAAATAGTTCTACTGGAATAATGGAAATACTTTCTTGGCAAAAGTTTAATGACTTTGGGAGAGTTTTAATTTTCTGACATTAGGGTGTACGTTAGGGTGATAAGAACTGAGATCAATGAATTTTGAAACACAAAAAAGTGTTTTCTCGAGAATAAAGCATGGATATATCATAATTTAAGATTACTCTACGTTTGCTAGCTATAAGCCCTTTTCTCGCTAGAGATTTCTTAAAGGAGATAGGTGGACTCGAATCCATTAAAATTTAGTAAAATCAGGGACCGTAACCGTTCTGATTTTTATAATAAAAATCATAATTTAATAATTAGTTTGTGGATTTAATTATTTTCGATCAGAAATAACCGTTTTTTGGACTTTTACTATTTTCGATCATTCTTTACCGTTATAATAGACATCGGGGTTTTATTAACGATTTAAATCTTATGTGATCAAAAAAATGAAATCTGAAAATAGTTATAAAATGATAGAAAGAAAGTCCAAGAATATAGATTATTTTTATCCGAAAAATCTATGATTTTAATAACGGTTATTTTTAATCGAAAAAAATATCGGAAAATAACGATTAAAATGATCGCCGAGCTATTAATAAAAAATAAGGATTTTGCAATGATTTGAAAATAAAAATCCTTCATATTAATGATTATTTTCGTTCCCTGAATAAAATTCACTGATAGTATCTGATCCTAACCAATTTCTGCAGTGATAATACAAACCCAAAAGGAGCTAAATTATGTTAAAACCCAAAAACAATTTAACAAATCTTTGCATAGATTCCTCTGTATATAAACTTACTTTTCAGTCAAATAAAGGTTTAATCCCTGGCGGAATACTTCGTCGCCCAACGCACACTGCCACATATACAGCACCGAGCCGGCTTTCGAGTACGAAATAGAATCATAGCGGCTGGAGATCTCAGATGGCGTTTGCACATAATGACTCATTGGATTCATTAGACCTGTACCATCGGCGGTAAGTGCCCGTTGATAGTCATCGGTGAGGAACAACTGATAGATATCCCATTCAGGATAGGCCTAGTAGGAGTAAAGAAAACAAAATTGGAAATAAAAGCAGCCTTAAGCTAGTAAAATATCCCTTTCAAGCGCTTACCGCATCGGTTGCCTGCCAGGAGAACAAGGTGGCAAAACCTTCCTTAAGCCAAAGGTACGTCCACCATTTAATGGCTACCAAATTACCAAACCACTGATGACAGTATTCGTGTGCGATGATTGTGGCAATATTTGTTTGTGTACTAGTTGTGGATGTGTTCTTATTATATATTATATATTCTTCGCGATATGTAACTAAACCCCAGTTTTCCATGGCACCAGCTGCAAAATCTGGCACGCCTACTTGATACATTTTTGGTAGTGCGAAATCCACATCATAGTATTCGATAAGTCGCTGCAGCAGCAACAAACCGGAAACCAAACCGAATTCCTGACCGCTTACAGTGCCTGGTCGTGTGTAGACACGTTGTGGGCGTGAATACAGTACACCTTCTGAATATTCAAAATCGGACACAATAAACGCTACCAAGTAAGTGGGCATATTAACCGTCTTCTGGAAGACAGAGTAGCCGGGTCTAAATGAGAAAAAAGGAACATGTCATTGCTTTACATTTTTTTGTTTTCAAAAGATAATAATGCACTCTACCTGCTCGCCTCCTCGTCCAAAGGCATATTCGATATGGCATTATATGAGGGATCATGATTAATAACGATGGAGAATGTTGCACGCTTGGCTGGCTCGTCGTAGCAAGGGAAGGCATGGCGCGCATCGGTCGACTCGAATTGCGTCGTTGCTATATACCTGAAGGTACGGAATATTCGAAATTCTGCATATAAAAAAAAAAAAATGCCTGCGATATAAAACCAGTGTGCACTCACCGTTCCGTGCCGTTGTCATCATCGTAGGTGGACAAGTAAAATCCACCGTTATCAGTACGCAATTCACCTTGATAGGCGATGGTCAGAAGCCAGCTGCTGCCTTTATTGAACGTTAACGATTGGTTCGTTGGCGTCAAACTGAGAAATTCTCGTTCCTCTTCATATGAGATATTTAACGCTTGAACTTGTCCTCCCGTTACCGAAGCGTTTGAAATAGTTGCCGTGAAATTACTTAGCTGACGCGCATGCAAAACTATTGTTCTTGTATCTTCGTTAACGTTTATTTGAATTTTAACTGTACCATTGAATGCCGTTGTGCCATTGTGTACATTCGTAGTCACTTCGACGTCGTAGTGCACAGGTTCAGTTGTGTTCGGCAGCCGATAGTCCAGGACTGCACGCGCTGCACCGGAGGCAACAATTTTCCCATCTACGATGCGTGCGGAAGGATTCTCTCCAAAGAGTGGTGGAATGCCGTGTGTTGCCGCTTCACAGGATACAATGAAGGCCAATGAAGTGGCCAAAAGGACTGCAACACTCACGTTCATTTTGTTGCGGTACATTGCACGATCAGCTAAGCGGCCGCAACACAATTAACAAAATGTTCAGCTCCGAACGGAGGAATAGCCTTTTAAGATTGCTAAGTTAGTCATAAGTTAATTTGTAAGTGTAGGTTTTTATGACCGTAGGGTTTGATTAGAAATGCTTCAGATGTCGATTGTTTCAAAGACGCTGCTACATACTTATTTGATTATATACGCGCATATCATAAATATGTACATACATATATAAACCCATCGTAAATTTGAAGTACATACATACATATAAATGGCATATGTTCGAGTGATCAACTGGACTCTTGAAAGCACAATGTTTCACCATGTTAATAAACGCTTTGTGAAGATTATATACACACATATATAGAGGAAGTCGCTGTGGCTTTATACATATAGATATTTATATATATATATTGAAACGATCTTAAAGTATATCTAAGAGTGGCGTGTAAGTTGATTGCTAAATATCTTATTTATTATTTTTCATTTATCTACTTATGTATATGTGACATACTTTTTAAATAAATATGACCCTCGAACTAGTTTTACTAAATGAGTTTTTTATTTAAGTATATTCATACACATGTGTAAAATACATTATGATACTTGAGTGGATATTTAATTGGTCTACTTACACATACTTATGGGCAGTCGCTTGGCCTGTGTATGCATTATGATGCGCATATGTCCGACGAGAGCACCAGTGGTGATTCTAGACCACGAGCCATAGATCGGACAGCCCAGCGTACTCTCTTAGACTTTTCCAGATATGGCTTTGGCAGAGGAAAGGTATTATTAAACACGAGTATGGAAATGTTAAGAACCCAGGTCCCAGGATACCACTTCCCCAGAGAAGTAAGGAACAAGGTAGTTGCTTTCGAAAGGAAATTTGAAATATAGTTCTGCAGCAAAGCCTACTGGAGTAATTTAATTATGGACATGTACGCGTTATTCCCCACGAGTTGGCTTCCCTGACCAACATACATATAATGATGGTAGGTTAAAGTGCCATTAGCCTGGTCTAATGGGGTCTAACAGAACACCTTGATAGCAATTCCTAGTGAACTTTATAAACAAAGGCAATGCAGGTGATAATTAGGTCTCAGTTGAGAAGTTTTAATGGTGAAACAATAAATTTTTATTGTAAGGAACTAAAGGACATGAGATTAAACGGTTTGGCAAGGGGTCTCGCCCGTAGTTGAAGATTTGCGTTAATGTTTTTGACGAGCTATGGCTTTGCTCTTTGTATACAGAAACCTGTTCTTTTCCGATATCATACCTTAGAAGGACTTCGCTCAGCACCCTGTTTGGGAACAACAGAGTTGGAATATCAATTAATAATTATAACTACTTTGAGCCTCAGAGTAACATTTTGCGATTTCTAAAGTTTATTGGACCTCAAACAGTAGGTAGTAAATTGTTCTAATTAGCATCACCAAATCAAATTAGATCCGCAGAACAAAGCGAAATGCTGGCTTACATGCCTACAAAGATGCCATGTCCATAAGGACTTAATACCGTGGTTCTGATTTTAAAAGTACACCCCTTTTACAGCCTTACGCTATTTTAAGCATATTTTTTTGCAAACTTGTTGCCTTTTTTCGCATTTCTTTAGTAGGCTTTAAAAATAAAAATTTAAATTGCGGCGAGCTAACTTAATAATAATCCCAACGATAGGCAGGAGTTTGTTAAGTGTCGAGATCTAAAACTGTTCAGCTACAGAACTAAATTCAACAGCTGATTTTATGTCTTTATTACTACGTTTATACGTAAGTCACCTGCAAATAAAAATAATTTGCAAATACCTGACTCACTGTTTATTCGACGGTGAAAAATTATTTTTTAATATTGCCTGCTTATAATATAATAACATGACCATCGAAAAAAACAAAGTTAAAAATGGCAACGTCTTGATTATAAAAAGGCAATAACATGACCATCGAAAAAGAAAACAAACTGAAGAATGGCGGCGTCTTGTGCTTATTTGCAACTAGTACCACTAATCGAAACTTATTTGCGTAATTTAGTTATTTGCAAATAAAAAAATTAACTCAGCGTTTGTACGACAAAGTTTACGATTTTGCAAATTATTATTTGCAAACAATATGTGCGCATAAACGTAGTATGTGTTAATGATTCTTTTATTGAGAGAGGATAGTATCGCTTTCTTAATGCTGAAAAGCAAGTCACATATGTATATCAAATATGCTGGAATGAGAGTCAAAATCCTGGCATAAGCAACGGAAAATTAGTTTTACCAGTTTTCAAAAATAGGGGATACAACTGCCTTGATACACGGGAGGGAACATTAAGGCTAACTTCACCCATAAGAAGCGGACTTGAAACTGAGCCTGTCAGTAATTCAACCATAAAAGTTGTACCAAGCATTTCCCTGCGACTGACAAGTGTAGGAAGATTTATAAATTTTAATCGGCTCGTATAAGGCCGTATAAGGGTTATATTGAGAAACCCAACGGAAATTTCTTAAAGCAAAAATTATAAATGGTTTTTGAATTTATTCTATCTTGTCTGAGTAAATTTGATACCTTGGATTCCAAAACACCGAACCGTACTACAGAATCGGTCTAACTAATGTTGTAAACAGGGTTTTAGCTCAGCTAAGTTCAACGAATAGAAAAGTGGCTTCGTATGTCGGAGCTCACAGTTCAAATACCTCCTATTTTATTGGTAATTAACGACTAACTACTTTTAATGAAATCGCCGACCCTGGAGTTGTTTTTTACTCAGAATCTTTGTTTCACAGCCAAATAAATTACATCATTGCACGCAAAGTCATATCCTCTACTAGCCTTCAATCGAAGGCTAGGTTGTGACTTTACTTACTAATGGGCTACTCTTATATGGGGACCACATTAAAAGACTTGAACGCGTTCGAAAGGCGTTTGTTTGTTCTGCTCTTAGATCTATAAATTTCGATTACCAATTTTCGTCTTGTAACGCTACTATTTACTAATTAATTTAGATTCTCTATATATTTTCAGAGGAGAAATTGATATAATTCTACCAATGTAAGTCCTTATTGATTGTTTTTTGAGGCCAGTGTTAAAATTTCCTATTGGGTCATTGGTAGAGCTTTCCGGCCGGTATATTAAAAAGGCAAACTGTGTTTCCTCTTTCTCCTACGCGTTTCGGCGTACTTCACGCCTTCATCAGGGAGTCTGATTTATTGCAAAAAAAAAAAACAAAACATAATACCCACAACAATTAGACATAGTTACATATGACTGGAAATTATACATACATATACATATACATATCTTTTTTATCACAATAGCACTTACATATTAAATTAGTGTAACTATTTACATTACAATAAACGCAAAACATTTAACTAAACACTTTTTCTTTTGTTATTCCATAATAATTACATAGGCTTACAAAAAAAATTTTCCACATATTAAACCAAACAACTGTATCTCTATGTTCTACGACGCGCTGAATGCGAATCCGAGGTTCGAACGTCAGGTTCGTGGTCATTTAAAGGTTAGGTAGGAAAAAACTCATTGAATAAACCTGAAAATTCAAAACAATTATTTTTAATTTGACTTCTAAATAACCTTGGCCGGACGTCTGGACGATCTAGAAGAATCAAGGGATCCCCATAAGTATTCGGATTCAGCGACAACAAAAACCTATGTATATAAATTTTTATCTTTATTCAATAAATCTTTCCATATTTGACGTCCAACTGACTCCGAACCTGACATTACGGAGGTTAAGAGACCTCGGATAAAAAGGTTTGGTTCAATATGCAGAAACCGTACTTTCGTTGAAATTTAATCCTTAGAATTAAAGTATTCGCAATCAAGCATGTTATAAGTGCAATTAAAGTAATCGTTATCGTATATAATTTAAGGATTACAATTAAGCATCCTAAGTGAAATGTAATCGTTATCATAAAGTCCCCAGCTCTGCTTGCAAAATCCTACATAAGTGAGTTAACTAGAAACCTATAAGTCTATAATTCGCCTATTCATTCGCAAATAAGAGCTCGTGTTGCTATACGGTATTCACCTAGAAGAGATTTATTGCGTATCGCTTATCGGAGTTCGAGGCTTCATCGCGAAATCGATAACAAATAAATCTAAAACATTGATTCCAAGTAGATAAATATATAGCGCAAATCACAATTATACGTCGCCCAAATATTCAGAAGTTTTGTCTATAAATTTTGTTATTATTTAATCTTCTTTTAATTTTTTATGAAAACATAGTTTGTTCTTTCACAAAAACAGTATAAATGCAAGTGGCTCATTCCACGGTAATCGATACCGAATGAAACGAAAATAAACTAAGGAATATGACTGCATTATTTCCAGTAAGTAATAGTAAATAAATCCAACTTTCAAGACTGAAAGCCAAAATTCTCAAATTTATCTAAAAATCAGATATTTTTTTACTTTAGGTTGTACCATTTACAAACCCATATAAGAGGTTAATGTTTTTCAAAATTTACAAGACTAATTTTCGTAGTCTATTACCTTTTTTGCATTGTTTAAACCGTCAGTGGAGAGACAAATTCGTTAGCATTGTAACGGCGTAATTTTCAAATTTTTCGTGCAAGTACTAAATATTTTATTATATATTGAAGAAAAGCATATTTTAATGTCACGACCGTCACAAGATACACAAAATAGTTATTTTTTGAAGGAAAACACATCTTGGACAGTGTAAAAAAAGCTGACGAAAGTAACGCTATGACACAGGGAAATATGTGCGAATTGCTTTTAAGTATTTATATGATTTTATTTTCGAAAAAAGAACCGATTATGTTGGTCACGCCGTCACAATTTAAAGTTTGACAAACTTCAATAAATTCGGCCAGGGACTGCTACCGTTACTTATCAGCTAATCTGAAATGTGTCATATATCTGTTTGTGATCAGCGATGATAAAGCTAATCATAAAGATATGTTGCTCGAGCGATGGGAAAACTTAAGCTGTGCTGTCACGGATAAAAATATATCATTACTTCGCTTGTCAGGGCAAAAAAAGTATCTGAAACGGTTTTTTCAGGTAACGGCCTCGGTTTGACAGGTAATAGCCTCATACTATTTAAAAATAAGGTACTTTACAATTACTAAGACATACAATGGAGAAGAAGAGTCCGATCAAGGATTATCCCGCCTTTAGGTGGCAGAATCTTGTATGTGTTCGTAAAATCCGATTTTTTGAGAAATAAAGTTAGCTTAGTTGTCTAATAATGTGTATTTATGCATTCATGCTCAACTTGTCACACCCGTCACAGTTTAATTTGGAACATATAATCTATAATTTCCAATAGGGGCAAGCAACTTTGGCGTAAATGTTGAGAATGTTTATTTAACTATACAACAAACTATTTAAAACCATAAGCAGAAGACATAATTAGCAGAAAAACTGTGGTGCAAGTAAGGAGTAGTTAATTTGGTTTGCGTACTCTTCACACCCGTCACAGTGACTAAAATTCAGATAACTCGTTCGGATTAAATTGGTTTTGGAATTTTTATTCCAGGCATTGTGTATATCTCGGAAACCTATTGCAAAATACTCGTTTTAAAGAATTTTGTATTACAGTTTAAGAATTAACCCTTAAAATGTGAGTTGAAATATCACACCCGTCACCGTGGAATGAGCCAAGTTTTAAACTATGCTTAAAGTAGCTAAGACTTCCGTTTATTTTTTACAAATCATTTTTTTTTGAAGGTAACTAAAAACATCATACTAAAAATCTTTCAAAGAAATCTAACCATAAAACTCGAAATTTTTGCGAAATTTGGTTTCTTTTATTTGAATATTGCAAAAAGTATTTGTTAGAGTATAACATGTCAATATGTGGGTGGCATATAATTGTGATAAGCACTATAAATATTAGGGTTATGACTTTCTTTGAATTTTGAAAACGTTTGTGTCATATGATACTCCTTGGTAGATAGCTTCGGGAAACATCCTAATTTTGTGAAGACTTAAAAACATGTCGCGCACAAGGACATTTAGAAAAGGTAGATCAAAAAACCTTTACTGAAAATGAATACCTTTACCTTATCGACTATTTGGCTATATCCTTACCAGGCAAGACTAGATGCTTTTTGAATGCATGTCAGATAAAAGCAAAAGTTCAAAGCTATTGTTAAGACATACGTATGCCGTGAAAGCACGATAAAAATTATGTGTTTTTCGCTGAATTAAATTTAAGAAAAGTAGTAATTTTATCAGAAAATCACCTGATTTTTGGCGTGTTTGCTAAGATACGCGTTAACCAGAATGTACCAAATTTTTTCTGGACTGACCCCTCAAAGCATCCTATGGCAAAATTTTTATGTTAAAAATTATGGAAATTTCGCAATAATTTGCAAACTATAGCTCAAAGAAAAAAACTTAATAAATGGAGTACACTACTGGCCATATTTTAGGTTCTGACAAATAAATCGTAATGGTTGTGGAGACTATTGGTTGTATTAGAATTGGATTTTCATAAAATGCATCTTTATTGACCTGCGTTCGTACCTTAAACCTGTATGGTAAACTTTGTGACGCTATTTTCGTTACTTCTATTCCTTATGTGGGATTCTCAAGTGAAATAAAAACATCGAGCGATGTCGATTTTATTTGAGTTTATAAAAATAGAAATTCTGTAATGCGCGACACTTTTTTTTATATCCGAACAAAGTAATGTAATTTTTCGGCTTTTGAATCTAAATAATAAAAGTCATAACCCTAATGTATGTATATGTATGTATTGATTATGTGAAAATAATTGTTAATACCCACATACAAGTGTACATAAAAAAGTTCATAAATATCTCAGGGACCTATTGACATACATCTGTAAATTACCTTCAATTTCCTTTCGTCATAATCACGTACGTGATTAAAAAGTGAGATTGCCATTGATTGGGGAAACCCTATAAACTTTGTATAGGACCCGAAAAAAGGTAGTTGATGTTAAGAAAAGTTGTGTGATGAATGTGACTTATGACAACATAACAAATTTCTCATATATATGCATACAAAAGTACATATTGAAAATAATAATAATTACAATTTCGCATTGCTGTATACTTGGGTTTGTTGACTATGGACTCAAGATATGATGAAAAATGTATGCATTCCACTTGCACTTTTCATTCGCAGTTACGCACGTACTTGATAAAACTTAAATTGCAATGTTTATACCCTGCAGGCAAGAGTACCGGTACTTGCTATATGACTTACCGATAACAAAAACAAAACAATGGTCTTAGTTACGGTTCTTATGTACAAAACGAACGGCAACTTTAACATGAGATTGTCATAATAATTTTTTTAATCTCGCCATGGCGTCACACAGTGTAACCTGAATATATGGAAGGGGGGGGGGGGCATCCTACATAAATGGCTTTCAGAAGAATGCCGTGACTTGTCTCCGTCGCATTAAAACCCTGGAAGGCCTCGAAGTACGTTCAGATCATGTTGCCGTTAAGTTGGTTATTGTAGGCAACGGTTGAGTCGCCCCTCCCATCGTCTGGCACTGAGTTTTCGCCAGATAAGGCTAAGGCGTCAATCAATCCTACCCGTTCTTATAGACAACACTTGACCTTATAGTGACTACAAAGCTCGATTGAGGATAGTGAAATCGAGTTGGGTCTCCCAAATCGGGGAAAGGCAGTGCCTAATTCTCCTTCTAGCCCTTTGGAGGGAATTTCAGGAACGGCTCTGGGGTAACCTCTGTAGCCCTGGGTGCCTATTAAATGCTGGAACGGCCGCGAAGCCAGTCTTCAATGGGATAGGGGGGGTCTAACGGCATGGATCTTGTGGGGAAAGGCGACAAGCGGCCGCAAATAATAGCGCAGGGGGAGTCGCTGCGAGGGAACTACGGGCGGCTCTAACATCTAATCTCTAATATCTAACAGGCCACTGCCTTATAGGTAAAAACATAGAA